TCAATATAACACTTTTTCCAATGAAGTTTTCTCACTGACAGTACTTGTGTTATGCAAAATACCATATTGCTTTTCAAAGTACAGAATTTCTAAACGAAAATGCATATTCAAATCTTGAATTTTCTAACACTTGAAAAATGGCTTCATCATCAAAACCTTCACAGAATTATTTGGGACGGGATAGCCAAGTGAAAAGGAAGGAGGGGAGATGCTGCACTGGGGGTCCTTTCAATAGCATGCTCACTTAAAAAGCTACTCCAGGTACCTAGGACTTGGCTTTCACAACAAGGTTAACCACCTACAAGAGTTACTCATCACTCAAGGCAAGTATCACTGCACCTCATTCCCTTTGCCACAGGTTTCAATCACCAAGCAACTTTCTTGAGCCTTGTCAGGACTGAATTCAGAGCAACTGTTGTTCAATTAAAGGTCACCTGCTCCCTTCTGACACCATCAAACTGTCCCCCAACAAAAAAACATATACACACACTTGCACATACACCACTGAATCAGAGAGAGGAAGCATTCAGCTCAAATAATATCCTCCAACAATTCTGACCAATTGCTCATCTACTTTTGAGGGTTTCATAGAGGACTTGGAAGAGTGATTCAGCTACAGACAGCAAATATTTAGAAAAGCTTGAAAGTATCAAATATATAAACAGTTTCTGTAGAAATCTGGTTTTCATAGCTTTTTGACTTTTAATAAATGTGCTCAAGTCACTATCCTTTTATGCATAATTCAACATCATTTACATTTCCCCAACACAGTACTTGAAAATCTGGAGCAACCTCCACATAAACACAAAAACAATTGTTTACTCAAAATAGTAAAATAATTTTGATATGCAATTTGTTCTAAATCTTGTCTTTCAAAAATATTTTAAAAGTTAAACGCTTTTTCTCTTAAAGAAAACATATTGCACTTTAGATCATCAAGTATAAAAGGCTTTGTACAAATATTACTAATATCCTCTCATCTTCTCTCTGCCAAAGGATAATCTCAGGCTAACATGATAAAAAACAAAATTCTTAGACTATCTCTTACTGATCATCTTCTACCTAGCCATAAGCACAAGGAAACACATGAAAAAGTACCATTTGGCAGCTGCACTGCATATCACAAATCACCTTTAGAATTAATGTTAAGGTGTTCAGCCATTAAATAGTTTTATAAATTGCTATACTACAATTTAACATTTTTATGTATTTGGTGAATTGAAAAAAAAAATCAGGCAAACCATAAAATCTATTTGGATGTATAAATCTCATTGGTTTCTAATATTTAATTAAATAATATAAATGCATCAGATGATCAGTCTTTTAAAAATGTAAAAACTAGAATTTTAAACCAAATCACCAAGTTAATTTTTTTCTGTATTGCTTCTATTTTAATTCTACTACTTATCTCTTAGAGGTCACAACGACGTGCAATTCTCTATGGTATTACCTAGCATCACATGAAAAAATTACTTTTTTTTTTAACTGGGAAACTAAAAGTTTATCTCCAAAGCCAAATCAAAAGTAACATTATACCTTAATATCATATATTGCGTTCATATGTTATATCTGCACGTAAGTAAATGCAGATATTAATTTCTAAGTCAACAAATTCTTCAAATAGGAAGCTACCACACAATTTTAACCTAATAAAAGTCATTTCTGTTTCTAGGAAATTAAAAATTGACATAGCCAAACCCTTTGCTGCAGGGACGGCTTGAGATTGGGTGGTTTTTTTTTTTTCCTTTTTGGTATTTAATTCAACTATACACAATGTAGTACATACAAGCAAAATACAATTGAGATACTGTTTGCTTTAACATTCCTATAGGAGACCAAATTCATTTGCATTGGAGTGAATACAATTACTGGTTTTTAACTCATGAAAGACAAATTCATAGCTTTTTCCTACACTATCTCATAGTATTCACACCATCTCAGTGGAAGAATGTCTAGCACGACTTAGTTACTTCCTAGAGGTGGGCAGAAATTGCATTTTTCAAAGTTTTGTTTCTTACAGAATCATTCAACTTTAGATACAAAAGCACATTCAAGTTAGCATGTCTAAGTTCAAAACAAGGCATGCAATATGTGTGTATATGTGTATATATATGTACATAATTTTTAAATTAACCTCCATCAACACCAAAAATGAAATTTGTATCAAGGAAGTTTCCAAAACTTTTAACAGCATTTTAAAGCTTACCAGTTTTTTTCCTCTTTAATAAACATTTGATCATATGTACTACCAAGAAATATGAACAGAGAAAAAAGATTCAAACATTTTAATTCAACAGAGCCTGAAACCAACTTAGATAAATCCTTTATGTGTGGTTGACATCAGACTAATTAGCATTTAATAAGAATAAAACATGTGGCAAAAAGAAAAGAGTTTTCTATTGCTAAGTGATCCTGAGAAAATAATGGTATCTAGTCTATTGTACTATTATAAAATGATGCTAGAACATTCAACAAAAAATCCAATTGGTAAGCAAATTGCATACCAATAATTTCGTAACTTAAGATCAAAACATCTCCCCCCAAACTATCATTAACTTTAAAAAAATCGATGAGATGTAGATAGTAAAACTGATTCCTGAGAAATCAAAGAAATTGCTACAATGTAAAGAAAATGCACTCAATTGTTGAATGATTTTTAAGTAAGCAGGCAATGAGGATGAACTGTTTTCTTACCATTTTCACTTCAACTAACACAAAAACCACATATAGAATTGACTTCACACTGCCAAATTTGCTTCTAATTTGTTAATATTCATAGAAATGCCACACAAGGACACCAAAATAGTCAACCATATAACATAAAAGCTTTGGTTTCAAATGTCTTAGTGGCCTGGGTTTAGAAAGCCACCAACGTGGTAGTGTCCAGGACATGAGAATATACAGCTGCCTCATCCCTGAGGTCTGATCTCAGTACACAATACACTGGTCATTAGCTATCTCTCCCTTAGCCTGCAGTACAAGTAGTTAATTTCTGCATTTAAACTAATAAAGGAAAGGAAAAAAGATTAAAACCATCCAATCAGAAATGATGCAACTCCTCTACAGCAGCAGCTTATGCATACATTTGGAATGTTAAACATTTTCAGTGTAGTGAATCATACACAGCGCATTTTAATCTACCTCCTGGGTATTTCACATCGCCCACATGTTCAAAGGAATCATCAACTAACAGGGCTCTATAAATCCTAAATTGCACTTTAATTTATACTAAAAACTGAGGACATGTCTTTAATTCTGAAGTCTTAAACAGAACAAAATTACTTAAATGACACTCCAGCTAACAGCAAATAATCTGCATTTTGAAAGAAAAAAGCTAAAAAAGTAGTACATTTGTGAGAAGTTTTAGGAGCTGTTAATAACTTTAGATAAACCAGTATTTCACATATACTACACAAAATTAAATAATGTACACTGCAACATGAAATGAGACACCAACAAAAATAAAATTCTAGTGGTTGTTTTTAACTAATTATAACCACGAAAAGTATTCACAACAGCAAACAGCCAACAGAATTAGACATTTATAGAAACATACTGTATCAAATATTTTGGGTAGTTATTTCACTGTTCGGAATATTCATTCTGCACATTTTCAAGTGTTGTGAGATAGTAATTTATACTTGCAGTAAATAGTTAATGTATCAGAAAGCTTCAACTTGGACTTCTCAAGCAGTAACTATTATTTTAAAGAAAAGTATACAACTTTAGAATACCTTATTGAAAACCGGTTAGTTACACATTACATCTTTCCCATTAGAGGAAAGAACTAGCTTAATATTACACATGAAGCTGTAAATGATAACTACCTTAAAAAAAAAAAACAGGATTTAAGTAATTTTCTCATATGCCACAGAGGTCATTTGCAAACAGAAGTTCATCTGTTGCTTAGTCAAAATAAAACATATCTGGAAATGTGGCACTCAATTTTTAAAAATCCCTTCAACAACACATGTAAGCATTTATGAAAATAGGGTAGTTTGTTTTAAAACTACTCAATCCAGGCAAAAATCAGGTGTTACGCTATTGACTATGATAAACTGTAAAGGTGGTAATCAAAAAGTTCACTGAGCATCTCCAATTCAGCTACTTCATGACTAATGGTGAACAAATGTATGTGAATGAGATGTAAACTAAGTTACGACACACAGCAGAAGAAAAAAATCCAGAATGAGTAATAAAGGGCCCAATTTAAAGTCCACAATAAACTTGAAACAAAGATGTTTTCCCTCATTCTCTTCTCCTGTTAGCAAATCACTGTGGAGAAATCCAACCTCCACAAAACTCGTTACTCCGTCATTAACAACAGTGCACTTAAATATTACTATAGATTTCACAAGGATATTTATTTTAGCCGCAAACATTTCTTACAAGCAACAACAACAAAATGCTCACAAGCTATACTCAAGAGTCTCAGTGACTGAAAAAGTCCGGCTTTTAACTGCCGTCCAATCCAAACAACCCACTTCTTTAGAAAGCTATGCAAAATATTGACCCCTTACTGAATTATTTTACTATTCAACATTAAACTATCTAAAAGAGAACAGTAATTAATCGCTAAGTTTAGTTAAGCAATTTAGCTGACACAGTAAATATTTACTCTTCACATCTCACAGGAAGTCTTGACAAGCATTTGCTGCCATTCTGCTGGGGATAGGGTCGGGAGGTGGGGGTGGGAGGCTATTTTTAATAAACAAGTTACAGGGTCCCAGCGAACTGAACATGGCTAGTGTTCGCCACCCCGACCCCCAATTAGGCACCAGATATTTTCCAAGAACAGTAAACACCTTATATAATGAAAGTAAAAAAAAAAAAAAAAAAAAAAAAAGTAGCTTTCTAAACGATGTATCTTCACTAACAAAACAAAAGCCCCTTTAAAAACGACCAAGAGCACGTTTTTAAAAGCTGTGTGTACGTTTTTTACTTATAAGTAAGGCCAATCTCAAAAAAAAAAAAAAAAAAAAAAAGCAAAGTATATTTACCTTAGCTTTTTAGAGACTGAGTAATCAACTTCCATGATTTTCCCATGCAATTCCACTTTACCTTTAAAACAGAAATTGAAGCACTCAGAACCTGCTTAGATCCAGCCAGCGGGGGTCTAGGAGGGGCACGCACGGAACTCCACGCTCGGGCTCCGCCTTCGGGCGCCCCCAAGGGGTCTCCTACCCCGCTCGCGCTGGGCGAACTTGGTTCTCAGTGTTAGGAAAGGTTGGCGCCCCGTGTCTCGGGACAAGCGGGAAGAGTGCGAGCTCGTGTCGGACCCCAGGTAGAGCCGTGGGTGGCATTACCGGAAAAACAAATTTAATAAAGAGCGGCGCCAATTTGAAAGGATGAGCTCATTTGAAACTCAAGCTGCAAGGCTGGCGCGGCCCCGCTGCTCTCTCGGCCCCCACCTCTCCATTCCGCTACCCCGGGGCCCGAAGGCTCCTCCGGGCTCCCCGCCCTGCCCGCTCCTCCCGGTGGCCCCGAGAAAAGGCGCCCAAGCCCCTTAGGTCCGCCGCGCCGCAAGAGCCCAGTCCCCGGCCGCTCCCGGGTGTCACCTTGGCCCCGCCGCCGCCCCGCCCCCACTCCACACGCCCGTGGGGAAGGGGCTCCCGCCCGGCTGGGGTTCGGGGGACGTGGGCCGGGGTTCGGGGGGCGCGGGCTGGGGTCGGGGACCGGCGCTGCTGGGAGCGGCGCTTGTGCTGGGGCGAGTTGGGGAGTGCGCGCGCGCGACTGTGTGTGTGTCGCTCTCCGTCTCCCGTCTGGGCTCCAGCGCGCTCGTGGGCCCCCCGGTCGCCTCTTTCCCGGTTCTCAACCCGGGCCCCCACCGAGTTGAGACAGGGCACCTCGTAAAAAGGTGCTTCTGGCCGAGCAGGAGGCGGGGGGACGGGCGGCGGAAAGCCCCCAGCCCCGAGTTCTTCTCAATAAAATCGGACAAAAAATTCAGAGAAAAATAGGAGCGCTTGAGAGAGCAAGCGAGAGGGGACTGAGGTTCGCGGGAGGACCGAGGGAGAGGTGCCGTCGTGTGAAGGCCGGGGCTTGGGGAGCCCCGAGACCTCAAAGGGGATCATCAGGGTGGCACCGAGGGGGTGCCGAAAGTGGGGGCCGGGGGGCAAGGTGGGGAGGAGGCTCGAAAGGAGAGTGCGGCTCGGGAGACGCCAGAAGGCGAGAGGTCCCAGGCACGAGGCACAGGAAAGGAAAAGGTCCGGCGGGGAAGGAGGAGGAGGACACGCCGGATTTGGGGAAGGGGAGACCCTGACAAAGGGGGTGACTGGAAGGTCAGGGGAGAGGGGAAAAGGGGTACGCTCGAAGGGCGGGGGGCGCTCAGAGAGCAGCCCGGGGCGCCAGAGGAACGAGGGGTGCCCCTAAGGAGCCGGCGAGCCTCGGGAGCCCTCCGAGCGGCACTGGGGGCGCCCCAAGGCTGCGGCCCCGAGGGCGACGGCAGAGTCCGGGGCCGTGGGGGGAGGGGAGCGGGCCGTCCCGGGAGCGGGCGGGCGGCGAGAGTTGAGGGTCTGGTGCGTGGAAGTGAGCGCGGGACGCAGGAGCCGCCGCCGGGCGCCGCCCGCCGGACTCGGCCTCCCTCCCGGCGCCGTCCCGGCCGAAGCGGAGCGAGGCGGGGGAGGGGGCCGCGCCGAGTGCTCACCCGAGAGGGTCTCGATGGCGCGGATGGCCCAGTTCTGGTCGGGGTAGTCCACGAAGGCGTAGCCAGACTTGAGCAGGACCTGTCCCGCCAAGGGCAGCTTCCTGTCCCCAAAGAGCTGCCGGAGGTCGTCGGCGGTGACGGCGGGGCTCAGGTTCCCGATGTAAAGCTTGTTCATCATCCGTGTCTTCCTCGAGAGCCCGCGGCTCCCCCGGCCCGGTACCGGCGCTCCTCGCCTCCTCCGCTGCCCTCGTCTCTCCTCCTCCTCCTCCGCCCCCCCTCCCCGCCCTCCGCCCGCCCGCCACCCACCCCCACCCTCACCCTCAGCCTGGCTCCCCCCACCGCGGCCGGCCCGGCCCGCCAGGGGGCAGAGGCGGAGGCGGGGACTCGGCGCGGCTGCCTCCTCGGGGCAGAGTCCCGGGCCGGGCGGCGGCGCGCGGACAAAGCGCTCTCTCTGCCTCCCTCTCTCTCCCTCTCGAGGCGGTGGCGGGAGGAGGAGCAGCGGCGGGCGGCGGCAGCGCACCCCGCGTGTGTCTGTGTGAGAGTTTGTACGGGCGTGTGCGCCGCCGAGAGGGAGCGAGCGAGCGCCCCCTCCCTCCCTCCCCGCCCCGCGCCGCGCCACGGCGCCCCTCGCTTCGAGCCCCCCGCGCTCGGCGTGGCTGCTCCGGCTCCGGCCCCGCGCCAGGCGTACGGAAGCAGGTCGCGGCCCCCGGCCGGGGCTCCCGGCGCCGGAACCCCGGGCGGGCGCGGCACCGAGGCCGGGCGAGCTGCGGGGCGGGGAAGGCGCGCCCCGGCCGCGGGTGGGAGCGCGCTCGGGGGCGCCGGGGAGCCGCGGGCGTGGGAGGGAGAGGGGCCGCGAGTGAGCGCGGAGAGGGGTGTGCGCAAGGTGGACCGGATGTGAGTGCAAGGCTGCCAGGGCGAGAGGGAAGGTGTGTCCCGGAGGTGAGAGGCGAGGGCAGGCTGGGAGACAACAAGTTTCGCGGTGACTTGGCGGAGGCTGGCGCCCTGCGCGTTCCCGGGCGGTGCGCTCGCTCCGAGACCCGCTCCCCGCCAGGCTCTCCGAAGCGACGGAGCGGCGCGTGTGGTCGAAGAATCGCGCGCGGGAGTCGGGATGCCTGGGGCCGTTCTCGCGGGGAAGTGGTTCCCGGTGCCGGGCCTCAGTTTCCCGCCCAGGAAGGGAAGGCGGAAGGCCAGCGCGGAGTCACGTCTCCTCCGCCCAGACCCCGCGCGCCCGGAACCCCGCGGCAGGCGGCAGCCTGACGTTGGCAGCTGCTCGCTATTCTGGGAAGTGCCGAGGGCTTCCCGGGCTGCCGCGGCGAAAGCCAGGTGGCGGGTGGGGAAGCGAACGCCGAGGGGCCGGGGCTGCGGCGAGGCCGGAGCGCTGGGGTCAGCGGCCGGGGAAGGGATGCTCGCCGCCGGGCTGCGCGACTGGTTCAGCTCCGGAGCCGGGGTGGTGGGAAGCGAGGGTGGCTGGAAGCGGAGGCGCGCAGGCTGTGTAGGAGTTCCCCGAGCACTGGGAAGGGCCCGGAGAGGAAAGAGGTCCTTCCAAGCGGAGGAAACAACGTGACCGACGGAAGAGGCAGGGTTGGGATGAGAGCGGGCTGGAGCCGAGGGGCTCGGGCCGGAGCCAGACTGGCTAGAGAGGGCTGCAAGTTCCGCGGCCCGGCTGGAAGCTTGATGGTTAGATCCTGGTCCCAGCCAGGAAATGAAATTCTACAGGAGGGAGAAAAATGGCAGGATTCAGAGGTGAGGAGGCAGAAGATTCCAACCTCTGGATCTCTGGGGACCTTTGGGAGAGTTGAAGGTTTTTGATCGCTGAAATGTTGGGGTTTGTGAGGGCATTGGGGCGCGGGGGTGGGGGTGTCCCTGGGTGGAGAAGTCACGAGTGTAGAAATGGAACAGGTTCAGATATCCTGACTGGGATGTTAAGTAGTAGTGTCTGTCTCAAGCTTTCCTGTTGATAAGTAAGCTGTGTAGAGGGAACCGCGCTTGCTGGATTTTGTATTTTCCCAGGTGATTCTGGTCTGGGAAACACTGTTGAAGCAGAAGGCCTGTCTGTCTGCTCCGGACTCAGACCTTCTCTCTGCCCCCAGCTTTGTGGCCTGAAATGTGCCAGCATCCTTGAGTCTAAGTTTCTTCATCTGTAAGGAGATAAACCAGCCAGTCCTCACAGGGCTCTTGTGAGGGCTACAAGAAGGATAACTCCTAGCGTGTTGAGACACGGGTGGTCAAACACTTAATGCCTGTTTCTCTTCTTTCCTCCAGGAATTCATGAACTTTAAAATACTTTATCCTACAGAAGGAGATCTTCTTAACTAATTGGGTGTCCGGAGGAGAAAATGAATCCATGTTCACCTAGATATTTGCAGTTATTTGAATTCTGGCTTTTGTCTCAACTATTCATATATTTTGTCTCTCTAGAAAAAGAATCAGATTTTATTGCTCCAGGAGTTGGGAAGGAGTTTGGTTACTAATCCCCAAACTAATAGATATACTAGGTATGGATGCTCCTTTACTAAGTTGTAGCAGAAAATCACAATGAACATGACTTGTACATGCATAAACCTCAGCAGACTGAACTAACCAACTTCAGATTATTTACACACGTGCTCTTAATTGATATGGTCACCTTTATATTATAGGACAGCATTTTTGCTTATTGCAGCCATTCACAGGTGCGTGTAAAGGACATTCGATAGTGGCAGGAATGGTTGGCCTCATTCCTCTCCAACAGGTTAGAAAAACTGGTTTTTTGTTGTGTAGCATTTTAGACGCATCAATTATTCGGTCTTGTAAGATGAAAAACAGCTTTATGTGGGCAGCAGACAATGCACAGATTCTTGGCAGAGGTGATGTATTACTCCACTTTCATGCTGCTGTGAAGAAATACGCAAGACTGGGTAATTTATAGAGAGAAGGAGTTTTAAGGACTCACAGTTACACATGGCCAGAGAGGCCTCCTCATAGCAGAAGGGGAAGGAGGAGCAAAGATTCATCTTATTTTTTATTTATTTTTTTTTTTAAAGAGGTTTCACCATGTTGGTCAAGCTGGTCTTGAACTCCCGACCTCAGGTGATCCACCCGCCTTGGCCTCCAGAGTGCTTGGATTACAGGCGTGAGCCACTACACCCGGTCCAAGTGCACATCTTATATGGCAGCAGGCACGTGTTCTGGGGAACTGCCTTTATAAAACCATCAGACCTCGAAATACTAAGAGTAGAACAGCGTGCTAAAAACCCACCCTCATGATTCAGTTACCTCCCACTAGGCCCCTCCCATGACACGCAGTGATTACGGGAGCTACAATTTAAAATAAGATTTGGGTGAGGACACAGCCAAAGCATATCAAGTGGCTTTTGGTAAACTCTTCTTACTCTGCTTCACCAAATCACTTTGAAACTTTTTTTCCCGAGAAATAACTGCTCTTTGCTGCACTTTGTCGTCTGTCCTGCTGGAGTTTTGGATACTGCAGGGCTGCAGAAGGAGGGCTTGAACTGTAAGTATGATGGAGGGCATGCTTCCACTACAGTTCTGATTTACAGACTCTACAGTGCCTTATCTTAGAATCCAGAGTTGTTTTTCACATGATAGAGGAGGGGTTGGGGACCTTTGAAGACAACAGGGGACAGCCTCCAAGTGCAAAGCCAAAAATCCAGAGGCCATTGATCCTGCCAGACAACTTACTTTCTACCTATTTTCTCTTAAATTCCCCTCTATTCCTCTCGCAGAGAGCTGAAACAGATCATCTAGATTGATCTGGACTTGGTTTACACCTAATAAGCCAAGATTTTATGACTGTTTAACAGAGGTTAGAAATTGGAGAAAATCCTACAGTAGGCATATCCTCCCTGCCCGCCCCCCACTTAATGCCACTGACAAGCCAAGGCATATTACCTTTTAAAGCATAAACTAACATTTCCTCAAGAGTTTCAAAGGCAGTACAGATCCTCATGGTTTCCCAGCAATTCTTGTGGGCAAGACAGTGGTAAGGTAGCTGGGACAAGCTTTCTTTTCTTTTCTTTTTTTTTTAATTGAGATGGGGTTTCACCATGATAACCGGGCTGGCCTTGAACTCTTGACCTCAGGTGATCCACCCACCTTGGCCTCCCAAAGTGCTAGGATTACAGGCATGAGCCACCTCGGCCAGCAAAGGGACAAACTTTCTTAATCCTACTTTTCAAGTAGAAACACTGAAGCCCAGGAAAGCAGAATTTTTTCTTAATCACACAGAGGGCCTGAAACATACATGGAAAACATACTGGTCTAACAACAAAGAGTTCATAAGTATTAAGTCGTCTTCGTCGTCTTCTTTCTTCTTCTTCTTCCTTTTTATTCCTTCTTCTTTTTTGAAGCAGTCTCACTGTCACCCAGGCTGGAGTGTAGTGTGGTGATCATGGTTCACTGCAACCTCAAACTTCCAGGCTCAGGCAGCCCTCCCACCTCAGTCTCCCAATTAGCTGGAACTACAGGTGCCTGCCACCATCCCCAGCTGAATTTATTCCTAAGAGGTGAGATCTCACTGTGTTGCCCATGCTGATCTCAAACTCCTGAGCTCAAGGGATCCTTTTGAATCTAAAAAGCCAAAGCCGAATGTCTTTTGCTCAGCTGATAATGCAGTCAGTATAACCAGTGTCTAGAAAATGTGAGAAGTTGAAAGAAAAAGTGAAGCCTTTTTGCTGGAGGGTTGGGAAAACCAACATTTGGAGGTAATTCTTAGAAGGTCGTGCACCTGCCTGTGCATCAGGAATGATTTGGTAGTAGGGTAATATCCCTTAGACCACCAGGGACCAGCTTCATGGAAGACCATTTTTCCACAGACGGGTTAGGGTGTGGTTTCAGGATGAAACTGCTCCACCTCAAATCATCAGACATGAGTTAAATTCTCGGGGAACAAGGGAGCATGCGCCCTAGATCCCTCACATGCAAAGTTCAAAGTAAGTTTCAAGCTCCGATGAGAATCTGATGCTGCCGCTGATCTGACAGGAGGTGTTCAGGCAGTAACGCCTGCCCCTCACCACCTGTCCCAGTGCATGGTGCCAGTGTTGGGGACCCCTGCCTTAGACACCTTTTCGTGAGTCGCCGTAAGAGAATTGCGTTATGCCAGTGACTGCCTGTTTGAGCTTCAGATCCTGATTTGTAAAGCAGCCCAATTGTTTCCTCACTATAAACTCCAGTGCCCACCCACCCACTGCAGTTTCATATTATGCAAATGCTAGGCCGTGTCAGAATTCCATCTTTTTGCATATATTGCCCTTCCCCTGGAATGCATTTCTTCCTGTGGTGAACTGTGTCTTCCCCTCACTTGGCCCCATGATACATACAGCACTTCATACAGATAAAAACCATCGAAGTGTATTTTAAGTGAGTAAATGTTATGGTATGTGAGTTATATCTCAATTCTTAAACGTGGGGAGGGGAAAGCCTTCCCTACTACATGGTGAGTTTCTGGAGGAATGAGATCGTGTCATATTCCTTTTTGAAGTTCCTTTGGCCAGTATGAAAACTGGTCCATAATAAA